ATGAAGGTACATGTGATCTTTGTAATGAAATTGACATCTGCAATTAGTGTAATTAAGACTCCTGGACAATTGTGAAAGACGCTTGTAGGTTTTGATTGACTATCAAAGTAATGAATGTAGGCTCCTCGTATATAGTTTCTTAGTCCATAATCGTGGAAAAAATTCTTTCATACAAAAGCCTTTCACTTGTACTGAAAGACATATGAAAACTTCTCTGGGTCATTCGATGCATCTGTACTATTTATATTTATTATGAAACTGATTCCATTCATAACATTTTTTTACAAAGCAGATTTCCGTAATCATTGTATTCTAAATAGTCTATTGTCAAGAGACATTGCTAGATTTCAAAACTTTTTTTATAAATCTTTACACCTGCTGCGTATGTGTGGTACATAACTTTGACATGTGTCAAGTCAACACACATTTTAAGTATAGGATTTTAGGGAATACAGTATTAGCTCAACTACCATTTTAAATCTGTGCAAGTGTGTCAGATCTGACTGGAAATGTCACAGTTGAGTAAAGAGAAACACTGATTATTAAATGCTTTTAGAAATGTCTCCTTGATTAACATAGTAGAACAGATACTGCTACATGTAGTTGGGTAATTCCTTTCATTAACAGCTAAGGGATTGTTCCTAAAAAAGTAAATTTATATATAGTGCTTGTACTAAGTATGATAAAATCCTTACCTAGATATGTTCATATGTCCGTCTCCATCAGAAGAGCAGTTTCGTTGCAGAGGATATGTTACCATAGAGGGGCTCAAATTTCGTGTATTTTTCATGCCACAGATTATTAGAGTTGATGAAGTCCTGAAATACCAAACACTCAGCTCATTTTTTTACCCTGACTGTTGATTCATAGATAAATGAATTCATTTAATAAGAGTACCCAGGGATACAATGACAAACCATCAGGAGAATCAATGATTAAGCTGTATGTTTGCAGTAGACTTTGAGAACCTCACAAATTAAGGTAAACTTTTGTCCGAAAAACCACCACTTACTCACCATCCTTAAACAAAGCTGTTTAAAATCAAGGCAGGTAAATGAAGGATAAGAAAAAGATGAGGGGAAAATGCATGCCTACATTTCCCCACAATAATCAAGTACATGATATATATAGAAATTCACCTAATGAAAATGCATAAGAATAATTTCATGTATGGCATGATTTAATATACATTTATTAAAGTTGCCCTTTTGCTTGTGTTCAAACGCCTGTCACATTTAGTCTGATCTTGATTTTACCATGAAGTCAACATACCGCTGATTCAATTCTACAATTATTGATTTTTGCTGAAGTGAATAATTGTATGGTCTACATGTAATTATGCCCATTTAATATGTAAAAGTGTGTATTTATACAAACAAAGCTTGTTATCTAGAACAAAGTTCTCTTATTTATGTTTATAGTCCGATGCCTTTGGAAGAATGTTACATAGCACATGATTGTATCAATTTACACAAGGTTGTTAGAGTCGATGGTATAATGTAGGTCAACCTTTGACAAGAGACCACCTCTGTTAAAAGACCACTGGAACCTTGGGTTTTAACTTATACATATGAATGTGACTTTTATTTTTCAAACCATAAATATGGCGTAGAAAAGAAACTTCTGTGAAATATTAGCTTAATACAGGAGATTTGTTAAAGTCTTTATAAACTGTTAAGTGCATGGTGCTCTTTTATACCAAAGTGTTACCCTAACTTTTGCGATTATCAAGTACTGGGAACGAAATATGGTTTACAGTATTATGGAAGTATTTATGTGAATTGGTGCATGATGATAGTGTTAACTTTCAAAAATGTACAACTTAAACAGCTTAAGAGCTTCGGTCAATATATACCCAGATATGTATTTAAACTAAACTATCATTATTTCTGCTGTTATTTTCATTTTTGCCAAAAGCTTCAGCAATGGATTTCCATAACATGGGAAATTTGTCAAGCCATATGATGTAGATACCATGATGTAGCAAACTTCAATTGAACTGGTCTGGTGAAGGAATTTTACCCCCAGCGTTATTGTATTCATTGCTGGCAGCATATAGTTCTGTAATTTTCTCCTTTGTAAGCCAGCTATGTAATTATTGACCTTGACTAAGGGAAATCATAAAACTGCTAGTGTAGATCAGAGTGCTCTCCCTTCTTGTGTTAGGTCAGTATCCACCTATTGGGGTATAATATACTTACGAGATTAAAACTGGGATGCCCAACTCAAATTTGGCCTTGGAGTGACCTTGATCTTGCCAGGCATAGTTGATATATTGTAGAACGGCAAAGTTCATCAGGTTTTGAGACAGGGGTGACCAATTTGGTCTTAGAAGTATGTACCATATTTTATATGTAAACACACAATTTACTATGCTTAGCTGTTGATTGTTTAATTCAACATTCTTGTGTTGAAATAAGCACCTATTCTAGTCAATGTGTTCATCTAGCACGTTGGCGGTGGTGGTGAAACCCTCTCATCATTAATGTTAGAATGATGCATGAACAATTGGGCTCAAGATCAACACGTTTCCAGTAATATTGTATATATAAACAACATAAACTCTGCTGTATATAAAGATTTATTGATTTTAATTTTCCTTTTTATATTATGTCAAATTGGTCAATTTCGAAATCACTTTAAAAACCATATATGTCAAATTATGTACAATTTTATATTATTACAAATAAATTGATACATTTCCTAATGTATCTGATGTGTCAAGTTGTTTTTAGTTAACCTGGTCAGAAAGGTCAAGTAAGCTTAAGCCGTTGTGCAGCATCCATCCATTATCTGTCTTACATCAACTTTTCCATTTTAATAACTTTTCTCAATAACCAAAAGATCTAGAATCGGGATAGCTGGTTAGTAGGCGAAGCATGACAAAGCTTGAGACAAACAAGAGGGCCATTGCCCTGAACAGTCATCTGACAATCGATGAATGGATGGCCATACCACAGAATTTGCAGATTGCAGATGGTTTGACAAATTTGATGAATTCAAATTTTGAACATTCCTTAAAAATATCAGAAATTCATAAATGGTAAGTTATGTACAATCATGTTACGAAATGGCTACTGTGGTTGAAGTTTTGATCAGGCTAGAAAATAACAACATATCATCTCTTTCTTTCCCTTAACCAATCAAACCCCAAATTTTTTATGTCAATGGTGTGAATGAAACTTGAGAAATAGTCTTAACTATTTGTTCAAGATGAATTATGTTGGATTTTGGACCAAAGCAATAAAAAAAAAGATTTGTTCAGTACCATCTCAGGTTCACTTCATGCACTTTTGATATCACTGCTACTCAATAATGATGTTTCAGACCAAATTTGGTTTAGATCTACCCAAACATTAAGAAGTATTGTATAGCTTCCCGTTTAGGAACCTTGTTCTTATGTCCCATGAGGTCAAATCAACTTCCTGAATTTAAGAATTATTCGCCCTCCTCTACTGCTGTTTCAGACAAAATTTAAATTAAATCCATTAAAGCATTATGGAAGAGTAGCATTTTAAAGCAAAATATTGATTAACTTCCCCATTTGGGCCCTGTCCTCAAGTGTCATATCAATTTTCTGAATATAAGAAATGATTCTTCAACCTGAAAGATGTTTCAGACAAAATTTGCTTGAAATTCATTCAAGCATTAAGGAAGAGTAGCATTTTGGAACACGATATTGATTAACTTCCCCAATTGTAGCCCCGCCCCTAAGTCCCTAGGGGGCATATCAACTTTATGAATTTAAGAATTAATTGCCGGCCTATATTGATACTGACGTTTCAGACAAAATTTGAATGAAATCCATTTAAGCATCAAGGAAGAGCAGCATTTTGAAGCAAAATATTGACTAACATCTCCATTTGAGGCCTGTCCCCATGTCCCTAGGAGACAAATCAAATTTCTGAATTTAAGAAATGATTTCTTAACCACAATGATATTTCAGACATTTAGTTTTAATCCATTCAATTAATAAGGAAGAGTACATTTTGAAGCAAAATTATCAACTAATTTCCCTATTTTAGGCCCCACTGCACCCAGGTCCCTAAGGGTCATATCAACTTTCTAAATCTAAGAAATGATAACCCACCTACAATAATGTTTCAGACCAAATTTGGATGAAATCTACCCAGGAGTAAGGAGTAGTGTTTTGAAGCATAATATTGCCTGATTACCCAGTACCTAGGGGTTGGACCCAATCTCTGAATATAGGAAAAAAAATTGCACACCCACACTGATGAAACGGGCCAAAGCTTGTTGAAATCCATCCTGAAAGGAGGAGAAAGGTTTTAAAGCTAGTTCCAGCACCTCCCCTTTTTGGCGCCCCATCCCTCAACCCTTAGGGGTCCAATCAAAATTCTGAATTTCACAAATGATTACCATCACCAAATGATGCACCAGATCAAATTTAGTTGAAAACACCAAGGTATGAAAGTGGAGTAGGGTGTTAAAGAAAAAAGAAAATTTTATACACAATACACGGCAGACAGCGCATAATGACAGATGAAGCACAATGGCTATAGGTCATCATGGTCAGATGACCTAAAAATGACATTGGCCAATATTTAACGTCACAGGAGTCAAATTTGTCTTGTCAAAACCTAAAAAATGACTTATTTCTAATTAACCACAGGGCCTAGGACAATGATATTTGGCTGTGGGTTCTTAAGGTATGCCTCACAAAATTTGTAGAACCTTTAAAAACGACCTTCCAAGTAATCAAAATGCTAAGAATCTTGGTAGTTGACTGGTAGGTTCCTTTGATGAAGCCCATCAAAGTTAGCATTAAAAGTGATCTTGATCCATCTTCAAGGTCACAAGAGTTCAGTTTGATAAAACCTTCAACTTCTGATTGACTGAAAAGCCTTTAGATTTAGATTTTGCTGGTAGGTTCTTGTGATGAATGTCAATGATTTGAAATGATAGTGTATTCATGAAAAGTAGTGAATGCAGGGATTGATGCACACTCAAGTTTTATGTTTTAGTAGTGAAGAAAACAATTTTTAAGAATTGAAATGATTTAATAAATAATTTGCTACACATAAAAAATGCACTAGAATTGCAATAATGAAAGCGTGCCAGCTAAAAATTATTTAATGCCAGCATATAAACTGAGTGCACAGATCTTTCCGAAACATAATCCTCAATCCTCCTCTGAATCATCATCGTCTTCGGCCATTGGAAATCTGAGTATAGCTGCAATCCCTGATAACTGACCTAGTTGTTCTCCTGATACATGCAAGCTAGAGAACATTCTCACTTCACCAGCTGTCTCTCTTACTGTGTCCACAATTTTCACATATCGTTTACGTTGTTTGATGTCTTGCGATCGGAAGAGCTCATCAGATATTAGCAAGACTTCTACAGCTTGGTGTTCTGCAGCTTTCTCCACTTGTTTTACTCTGAATTATGAACATGCAGTAATTTTAAACATGGACACTTTTCAAATGAAATTCATTTCTCACAATCAGTACTGATTATATCATTTGTATCAGTGTAATTCTCACTGATTACAAATTTTGTGTTTTGAATAAGGATAAGGATTTGTCAAACACTCATTAAGAAGATAAAACATTCATCTTCAAGGTAATGTATGTGTTCTAAGATCTGCAGCCCCTAGAATATCAAAAATCTTAATTGAAAAAAAATATTTAAGTCTTTCCTTTTTCGAGAGTTACAGCCCTTGTCATTATGATACATATATATATAGAACCTGGGTTGGGAATTTGTGCCATATCCTTATGTTTTGAACATATATCATGATGCTGTGAATGTTAAGTTTCCATTGTTTCAATCATGACATCGTAACTTAATGAAATCTCAAGATTTAACGAGGAACAGATAAACTTTTGATTTTTTGCCCTTGCATAAAACTTAATTTTGCCTAGTGTTAAACAGCTTTAACAACAAATACACGCCCATCTTTTATTTCATCTTATCAGCAAGACAGCAAAATGATCAAAATTTTAAATTGAGATGGAAGATTTCTTGTACACAGCAGTGAGATGGGATTTGGTTGCTTACCCATAGAAAGCTCGGTTTGAATCATTCTGAAGCATTTGGTAAAAATCGTCTAAAGCTTTGATCTCTAAGGACGCCTTTGTGTCAGCTAATCTGGCAGTCACAGACGGATCTTGTAAAACCTCTGAAGAATGAAAAGTAATAGTATTGGTACAGGTTATGCCTGTATGTAAGGTAAAATGAAAACGAATTCCAACAACAGCTTTATACATGCAACCACAAAGTAGGAACACATGAAAAATTTAATTAACTTTGAAAAATGAGAGCATCTTAAGAAAAGAATTTCACTTAATCCGACTCCATTTCAGCAACTGTTCCATTTTACATATAGAAACATAAGCAAGAAGACTTAATATTTAAAACACTTTTTATCTCTCAAAGGAAAAAATATATTAATTCAAAAGCTGGGGTTATTCTGATTAATGTCGATGACATTTTGAAATTAAAAATAACCATCTGCTATCAGAAAAATTCACAATTTCGCTACACCACATAACTAACCAATTTTCTATGATGCAAAGAAGAAAAATCATAAACAACTCCCCAGGAGGACCTAACAACATAGGATGTAGATCTGTATGTAAACATACCTTTGAGAGAATGTTTGAACCCTGAAGATGCATGGACGAGTACAAACTTTGATTTGTTGTCTAGCAGCACTTTGTTATCCATTTTCACAGCTTGTGTAAACAAATACTCTGTAAACTGGTCCTGCAATAGAACAAAGATAAAGAAAATTTGAAAAAGAAGGATAAAAACACACAACTTTCAATTTATTCACTTTTTTATTTTTTGATGGTTCAGTACCTTTATATTTATCTAATGTATATTTTGATATGTATGTAATATGTTACAAATTCATCTACCTGGGTAAAATTTACAGAGCCAATTGACTTTTACATATTCAATATAAATTTCCTTGTTTACAGTAACCTATGAAAGTTTTTAAATTTTTTTTAACCTCATTTACCAATACTGTGAAAAATGTCTGGCTTAAACAATCATTTCTTACCTTAACGAACCCAGGACTTGCCACTAGAAAACATTTCACAACTGAAACACAGAAGGGAATACAAAGTGATTTGTGGTATACTACAACATTAAAAAATATTTTAAAATAAGAATATATCTAAATGACACAACACCATGAATCATTTAACCCTTGACCTTGCAAGCTGGTCAAGGTATCTTAAAGGAAATTAAAAAAGATGTATCATAAATCTGTAGGAAAACTTTCTATGAACAAATGATCCACATGACAGCATTGCATGAATACAGTAGTAATTCATCTTGGATGAGCCAAAACACATTACTTACTATCAAAATTGACATGACGTAGTATGGCTTGTAGAATCTGATCATAGAATCTTGTTAGACCCTGTGGAAATAAAAGCTTACATATTTTTAAAAATTCAAAATAAGCTGACACTTGTCTCAAATCGAAATTCAGTTTGAGTCAAAATAATTTTCAACTCCCAATTTTTTTCCCTTCTATAACTTTCGTTCGGATGATTCAAATTTCACCGAGTCGAAATTTCAGTTGAGTCAAAGTGATTTTTCAGTCCCTTCAATTTTAAAGCAAGAGAAAAGTCATTTGTTGTCTCGAAATTAATTTTTGTCAAAACATCAGCGTGTCTTCTGATGAAATAGGTCAATTTATACACATATTAGAAAGTCACCTGTGTGTAACACATGGCTAATTATGGCGTATCAGTCCATCGTACACACAACACTTTGTCACTGACAATTAATCACCACTTTTTTCACCAATTAAAGCTTGGCTTCTTAATTAGTGTAACCATCCTGAAGCAGTGACTTACCAGTATGTTAAAAAGTAGCACGTTTACACAAAGCATGAAAACATTTAGCTTGGTTGAGTGCACCTTCAGGAACAATAACAACGAAACCATCAAACCAGTGCAAACTTTTTGACGAAATCTCATCCCCAATAATTCCAAAAGAAACTAAATTTGAGCTTGTTACCTAAAGGACTGTGATTGGGCACTTTGTCAGATTTAGTGTTTGGACAATGAAGTGCTGAAAGTATTTTTCATTGATACGCCTAGAGTCTGTATATAAGCGTGATTTGTTAACTCTAGTGCCTGTACAATTTTTCTGAAAAAGTTAAATCTTTTCTAGTGCTGCATTTTTCATACGTTTATTTATTCATGACAAGTATTATTGATCTATGGCTTCATACATCGTTTCTTGTAGGATATCAAAATAAAATTTTAATTTCGTTTTATTGTAAGGGTATTGTACGTGTGTGCTAGAATGAACGACACAAGTACATTTGGAGTTGTTATGACATGTTTTGCTATTTGGAAGAAATTCATTTGTTTATTTACTTCCATTTGAATATCATATTAAACTAAACTGTTTGCATGCTATCATAGTCCTACTTCGTGGATGGATTATCTACCGAAGACAAAGAAAGATGGATCATCTACTGGAAATGTAAAAAGATGGGATATCTACCGAAGACGAAGAAGGAAGGATTATTTAGTGGAGACATTTAGATGGATGATTTATACCAAAACAAAGATGTTTTTGTGGAAAATGAAATGAGGTGACTTGATTATGTACTATCAATTACCAAGAGCAAAAACAATTGTACACAGATAAGAGCTAAGATTGGTACATTATCTTAGAAGTAGGTGAATTATATCTTCTAAGGAAAATAAGATGACCTAATTATTTACAAAGCATGGTGAACAGATAATCTACCAAGGTGAAAAGGTCGTTAGATAATCCATCCATATAAGAAATTATCATGTAAATATTACAAAACTTCATACCTTATCGTGCTGTGAACACATGCCCTTGCGTTTGCGAGGAATACTAGTCTCTATTTTGGCACGGACAAGGGTCATATTAGAGGTGATTAAACAGACGTGAGCAAGCCCTTCCTGCATAACAACAGCGGCAAGATCGGCATGTGTGGTCGGATCACAGGCTGTCTCTATAAATAACAAAATCATGTGTGGTCGGATCACAGGCTGTCTCTATAAATAACAAAATCATGTGTGGTCGGATCACAGGCTGTCTCTATAAATAACAAAATCATGCGTGGTCGGATCACAGGCTGTCTCTATAAATAACAAAATCATGTGTGGTCGGATCACAGACTGTCTCTATAAATAACAAAATCATGTGTGGTCACAGGGATCACAGGCTGTCTCTATAAATAACAAAATCATGTGTGGTCGGATCACAGGCTGTCTCTATAAATAACAAAATCATGTGTGGTCGGATCACAGGCTGTCTCTATAAATAACAAAATCATGTGTGGTCGGATCACAGGCTGTCTCTATAAATAACAAAATCATGTGTGGTGTGTAAATAACAAAATCACGGATCACAGGCTGTCTCTATAAATAACAAAATCATGTGTGGTCGGATCACAGGCTGTCTCTATAAATAACAAAATCATGTGTGGTCGGATCACAGGCTGTCTCTATAAATAACAAAATCATGTGTGGTCAGATCACAGGCTGTCTCTATAAATAACAAAATCATGTGTGGTCGGATCACAGGCTGTCTCTATAAATAACAAAATCATGTGTGGTCGGATCACAGGCTGTCTCTATAAATAACAAAATCATGTGTGGTCGGATCACAGGCTGTCTCTATAAATAACAAAATCATGTGTGGTCGGATCACAGGCTGTCTCTATAAATAACAAAATCATGCGTGAACCACTTCACAATGAAAAGCTCTTCAACGATCACAAAATAAACAAAAAATCTAATTCATAACCTACAGCCATTGAAATTTAACCTTTTGTTTTTCAATAAAAGAAAATTCTTCAGAATAAAATTTTACTTCTGTAGCAATCTGTTACACAGTAGTTTTTCCCTTTTGTCAGTGAGGTCTGTAAACAGAAAGAAATCTTAATTTTGAAAACTTAGAAATTAACAAACTAATCACTTTTTAAGTCAAGTAAACTATTCCAAAGTACTAACCAATATTCAAAATGTTTAAATTCTGATATCTCAAGCCTATAATGGACATCTGAACAATTACAAACTTGGTAGGCACCTAGATATCGTACGAAAGAATTATTTTGCCAAAAACTTATTCTAAATTTGAACATACAACTTACATTTCTGTGGGTTATATAAAAGGTTTATGATGTTGTAATGCATTTTTTTAATGTTGTCATAAAAAATATGGTTAAGCAAAACAATTAGGATCAGAGAGATAAACTATAAAAACAGATCATTTCTGTTTTCCCAGGGTATGTCTGTTACCTGTTAATTATGTCCTGACATCCTCTACCATGGTTAATTTTGTGTGAAATATTTCCTTGTTGTTCCATGCAGCTGACATCATTTATTTTATAGTATATATAGCAATGATAGGGTAGGTTCTCTTAGAGAATATTGGTGCTGATTAGTAGCAAGACCGAATTTTACAGGTAAATTATTTCTTTCTGACAGCATATAACAGATCATGAATACTTACCAATCCTTTCCAGTACTATACTGTCCCATTCTTGTTTCCCCAAGGTAAACTTCCTGTTCAGCTCCAAGTCAAGTGTGTGATATGCACCCATCTAAAGAACATGAAACAGATGAATAATTCCTCATTCACAATGAGATAGTCATAATTTCTTTCCCTTTCGATTCATGGTTTGCCTGTTATATCGTTGAATGTTTGTCCATTACATCCTTGTAATTTTTCTTGTTTCATTTTTTGCTTACAAATATATTAATGTTATTTATATAATTCAGCTTGTTAAAACTTAACATAGAACAGAAACAAGATACACTTAACATGTGTTAACAGCTTATTTTTTTCTTGTGAATTATTAGAGATGTACAAGTTTGAGAATACATGCAATTGTGCCTTCTCCCATATGCTAAGGGCTTAATTGCAAAATTGCCAACCCTGCCTAATTAGAAAAGGAAACTTCTGATCGTTGACTCCAAATTTAGACAAATATTACCAATGAACCTTACATACTTTATACCTAATTTCAAGAATCCAATTTACCCCGAAAGTACTGATCAATTTAACAAGTTTAATGACAGAAATGCTTATTCTACTTAGGTTTTTAGTGTTACAATCCCGTCCACAGAAGCTCCAAAGGGCCTGGAAGGTGTATTTGTCATCACATATCATGTATAAGAAATAATATCAATATTCCCTAAAGGAAAAGACTACATTTCAACATATTTACTACTCATCATACAATTATTTTGGATTTCCATCTGGTTTTTATTTAATTTTTTTGCTGTCGTCATTGACCATTTTTTTTAAACTTTTAATATTTCAAAATGATGTCGTTGGTTACCTTGACATATTGGTTTTCTTGTATGTTGCGACCTCTGACCCGCAGCATACATCCTTGTATATCAAATTCAATGGCTTCTACATGGATGGTGAGAGTGGTTCTCACTTTGTTTACACTCACACTTCCAGTTGCTGACTCATTCTGAACTTTCCTAGAAACAGAAGCAGAATTTCAGGAAAATTAATAATATGCATGTTATTATTTCTAAGGAAAAAACTGCTCTACAAGATATATATTACTAAAACTCTACGAAAATTATCAGATTCAGTAAGTAAGACAGTTTTTAATGAAATTTCAAAAATAATTCCTTTATTTTATTAACTATAACATAAACCTTTCTTTAATTGCATTCCCCAATGGAATCTTATATCTAAGCACAGCACTAGAAGAGTTAACTCCCTTGCATTTGTTTTAGGACAATCATACCTGATGGTGGTTGACCTTAGTGAGTCACCAATGGTAACCAGGTTATAGGTGTGCCACATGTCCTCATTTTCCTCAGGAATCAGGGTCACACTCCTGAAAGCATAAACAGAAATACAGCAATGACTCTTAAATGACTATTCTATAATCTCTGTATCTTGATCTTCACATGAAACGAAACCAAAAGGGATAGTTTTCCACCAAGCTGTATGCTATGATTCAGATTTCCCTAGTGTGAATTTTCCATTTCTAGACAGCATTATTTCCCCTTCTCCAACATATGATGTTTTAAATGGAAATTTTTAATTGATATTTAGGATTGACAGATAAACCACAGGGATTATAGGTGGGTGAAGACTATGGAAAAGTTCTATGATCGTGACCATAATCTCATTGGGAAATATTCTGTTTCCTTCCACAAGGTAGATGTTTTAGATACTTAGTATGCCAAGTGGTTTAAATTTTAATAACACTGTTTTCATTTCAGAATGCATCAGTGCTGGAACGGTTAGCAAAAATACTGACCGGTTAACCATCTCGGACAAATCAAACTGTAACCTAATAACCAACATTTCATGTTGAACTTTGACATTTACGTAAATTGGTCTGTTTAGATCATAGTGCTTGACTATTGAGATTATGATTCTAAAGGTAATATACCTGCTCCATACCATGCAATAAAAAAATCAAGAAGACACATATCTACTTAAGAATTCCGTCACGCACCTATGATTTCCGGATAATCTTATTGTAATGAAGTGGTATGCATGAAGTATGGCACTAGACACAGATTTTGATAAAGGGGCCTGCCATATGACAAAACTATGGCGACATTTATCTGATAGTTAAAATGCTAACTGGTTAGCATAATCAGAAGGCTCCAACCGAACCAGGAACCGGATATCCAGATACCTGTTCCAGCACTAGAATGTATTATTTTTTGCTTGATGTCATCAATGAAGTAGATGACACTTACCCTTCTGGAACACCTTGTTAACCTATTCTCCCCAAGTAACCATTCCCCAATACCTTAGTGATCCCAATACAAAATGCAAGCAGCCAGTTTCTGCCATGTATTATGAAATAACTCAAATAAGCAGTCATAATACACTAGCAGACATAACATGATACAGACTATTTGATAAAACCATACATTGTTAACACTACATTTCCCTTCCTCTACAAGTAATTAAACTTCTACAGGAAAATACATGTATACTACCTCATGCTGACTACCTTAATGTTACGAAACTGACATAGTTCTATAAAAGTAAAGATCTGTTCATCAGACCAAAACTACTGTTATTATGTATTTGTATTGTAAATCTAACATGAACACAAAAAATGATTGCAAAGTTCAACAGCTGAACTGGTCACGAGAGAGACCTATCAAGTAACTATTCTTTCTAGAGTAGAACTAGTTTGAATAGCGGATGTCTGGAGTAGTAGTCCTCTGAGAACTGTCCAGACCTGTATCTTGTGATCTATCACACTGGACATTCTGACAAGCAACAAACTCACAAGAATTGATCAAAGTCATTCAACAATCCTTGTCTGGGATATTTCTGGTAACAACATGGGAGCTGAGGTTAGATAACTTTGGTTCCTCCTGACATCTCCAGCACTGAATCCTCCACCTGGACCTCTAAACTACGTTGTTTTTGCTTGAGTCAGTTTGGGTAAAGATCTTGCTTGACAAATGAAAACCTAGTTTTCCTTCCGTACAAACCAATCCTTACTTTCCCTTTTGCAATCTTTGGCTATGTCTGGCCATTGTAGATAAAGGTTCTTGAGATTCTTTGGTAGAGATGTTCTAATCTTTCAATCCATTAACAGTTCAACCAGACTGAACCAATTTTTCAGCACTATTGCACAGTATGCTAGAAGGGTCTGATGTGGGTCTGTTACCTTCTTCACAAGGCTTTTAACAGCTTGCGCTGCATGCTCTGCTTCTCCACTGCCATGAGGAAAAATATTGGCTACTAGTACCAACATTCTGCAGCAAATTTCACAAACACTGCAATGGCATAATGAATTGACAAAAGGTTCACTATTTCTTCAGATGAGTTACAACTCAATCATGCAATTTGGACATATTTTGAAAAGTATTCGACTATGACCAGTAGGCAGCACTCTTTACCTACAATAGATCATGTCAATTTTTTGCCGAAATCGCTCTGGAAAGTGTTTGTCTTGATTGTATGGTTTGCTCTCTGTCTTACACACATCACACAATTCCGGACAAGATCCATTACCTCACAATTTATCCCTGGCCACCATACAACTACATAAGATCGCGGATATTTAGTCAGAACCCTTCGGACTAAATCTGCGTCTAATGGAAATAATATAGACTTTATCTGAAAGTAAACTAGAATACAAAAAAAAAAAAAAATACACGAGAGAAAATTTTGTGTCACGAAAAATAACGTATATATGTATGAACTTTGTCTAATCGACCACCTTTAATTATACAAATTACTTGAAGAACGTAATTTCCAAGAAAACACAACACTAATAATACCTTAACGGGTTTCATAAGCCAACCCGGTACACAAGAAACCATGAGAATAGATATTTACCCGGAATTATTTTTGTCGATATCTCTGCTGACAAGCTTCATTTTGCGTTCTGTATCGCACTAACTATGTGATGTCATATTCGAAGCTCACACATACACCAAACATGTTGAAAGTTTCACGTTTGACACATATGAGGCAACATCCTGCGAGCGAAAACTACCAACACGTGTTATAACGTTGTTAGCTATTGGTCTGGCACAACATAATGAACCAATGACGTAGCGCCTTTCAGTGGCGATCAGGAAAGACAACCCGTCGCGCACTTGTAGGTTGCATACTACCATTCTGTAAAAGTGGTCATTATTTATTTCATTGCTACCGCTAGGATTCGATCCCAAGACCTCTGCTAATTTGACGCTCAACCTATCGAGCTAAAGAGAAATTTTCTCTAGTCGACCGGTATATTGCGGTTAGTATTTTACCAAAGTTACATAATAATTATCCCGTCTGTTTATTACGTGGAGTTGCTGATTGTCATTATGCTAGCTAGTAAAACAGTCTCATACAAAAATGTGTTGGAGATATCATCTTGGTTTGAAGGTTTATTGTATTCGCACCTTGATGTCCTCAGTCAATCACTGCCATATGTCTTGAAATAGCCGCGGACATTTAGATAAGACTAACATCTAATCAGTGATAAGATTTGCTTTCTGGTGCAGGATGGAAATTCTCACCAAAATTACACAATGTATGTTACATAGTTACAAGTCACAGATGAATAGTCGTTCTATAGTTGTACAATATTTCTAGGTTTTCTCACTGTTTCATGTCTAGTTTGTTCGAAACTGTTCATAATTTTCACTGATACCTTCTTCTCAGGGAGATTGTTCATTGTGCTCACGGTTCTTACAACGAAAAAAGAAAATTCAGATGGCACAGGTTGTACCTTTCTTACTGAAAATGACGTTAACAAAGGAAATCACAGACCAGATAGTATCTTGTATAGGATCTCAGTTAGAAAGATTTAAAGAAAGTCTTACATAATCAGTTAGAGAGTTGCTTCACTGATGATAAATTTCACATTTTTTATCAGTTTTCAGTCTGGGAATTCGGGTGCTAGTCTAGTGGGTCTGGTGAGGCGGGTGACCTTGAATTGATACCTGATATGTTGAAGGTGTTTGGTAGCTATATTGGCAACAGACAGCAGCATTCTATGCTTAATTTGTCCTGAAACCAGTGTTTGGGCGCCATTATTATAGGGGTACCCCACGGCTCAGGTATTGGGATTTTTCGCTTTGTTAACTTGGGAAAGCTATTTGTACAACTATGCTGATGACAATACGTTGTTTTACATGCGCCAATGCCCTATAGATTGGAAGAAGGTATTACATGGTGAAATAAGAAATAGCATCGATCGATTTTCTTTAAACGGGATGAAAGCAAAACCAAGTAAATTTCAGACAGTCTGTTTTGGAAATCGGCACGGATTCCAATCTCAGTTTTAATGAACACACATATTTATGGATGGCATCCTAATTTCTTCACAAACTAACCTTTCCCACTTATCGTATGTAGTTTCCTCCTTGGTCCATTGATCGGTAAAACAAGACGGGCGATGAGCGGCCATCTTGGATTTTGCCAGTTATGATTTCAGTAGAGGTCTCAGGACGGATCACTATCATATTTCATTTGTAGGTTTCCTTTGTCCTTAGATTAAAAGGTACAGACTAGAAGAAAATACCAAAATGGTTACAAAGATGATACGATGGTGACCGCTAAGACCCTTTGAGTTATCGTCTGTGATTGCAACGGAGCAAAAATTTTTTTATACAGGAAAGCAACATATATTTAATAACAAACAGTAGTCTCCACGGTAGGGAATGACGTCAGTTCCAAGATGGCGGATGACGTTGTGTCGTGGAAATATAACAACAACGTTGTTCGTCTTTTGCTTTGCACGTGACATCGGAACCTGTCGATATGGCGGTTGTCAAGAAGGTGGCTGATAACCACAGGAAGGCGGTTGATAGCATGACGTTGTAACGCATAACATTTACTTGATAGTAAACTTTTTAGTTTGAGAAGTATTGTTTATTTTCTGTCATTAGCTTCTGTCAGTAATCAAAATTGCTGTTTCGACTCCTGAAATAGTTTTTTTTTCGAAAGTGATATTGATTAATCACTTCAAAAATATTTCCTGTGGAGGAAGAAGAGGAGACATCCTTAATTGTTTCATTTCATAAAGATTTGAGAAAGTCTAGGCATTCAAAGTGAAACATTTTGGACCCTCTTCATAGATGTTGCATGAAATGAAAACTCATGTACGATATCATTAGAATTTAACTCTTTGTATATGCTATTTATGGTTGTTATAAATGACAAAGTTTTTTTCCATAGTCAAAAATACATGGCACGCTAATACAATTTAATAAGTTTGCCTGTTATATTTCCTACACTTTTCGCTTTTATGCGCATTCTAATTTAATCTAAACTGAGATATGATAAGATTTACTAGCCTTTTGAAAGGGAAATGATACTTTCTATCAGGCTTGTGTAAAGCAAATGCCATGTGAATTTAACATATGAAAGGTTGACTTGAAGACCAATTCGTCAAAATTGTAGTTTTCTGCATGTATATTGGTAGATGAGAAAGTAAGAAAATTTGATGTAACTGTATTTGGTATAATCCGTGCTTGCTGTATGTAGAGCCATTGACCTGTTTCTGCAGCCTGTCTTACCGTTAAGCACACATATCTATGTTTGATTAATATATTACTGGTAATCGATGCCTGTGTTAGCGTTGTCTGTTTCTTCTACTGTAGTAATAGACACGCTTTATCTAGCAAACATTGCTTTCTCTAAACATAATTAGCCTCTCGTGTACATAGAATGTCGGTAACATTTGTCACTGTATAACAGCTGATTGTACATTTCAAATCTTCATTTTTTTTATCTCAACGGTCGATAATGGTAAACTAACAATGTTGATATAGAACAGTAACGATTCAGCTACTGTAGTTGAAGTCACCTATAGGTGTTAATTATATTCGGGTTCAACAGCCACTAACTTCTCAGGTGAATGTTTGAAACACAATGTGTTCCAGTCTATCGACACTACACATTGATGATGCAGATGGTTTTAATAATTCAACATCTACCTTGTAATTAAGTTATCATAATCGTGTAAACTACAGCATTAAGTACACGTGTACCGAATTTTGTGATAATTTTTCCGCTGTTTTTCTTAATGTTTATGATTCTTTGTCTGATATGTCCTTCAATTTGATTTGAAATTGGTTTTATTAAAGACATCCAGTTCTCTATTTCAACAGTAACATTATTAAAAATTAAAATAATAAATTACAAAAATGTGACAAATAGAACTTTACATATATGGAAGCGATCTTAATTTCATTTCCCTTTTCCCTTGGTAATACCCCGTTTTAAAAATAATGTATGCAACTGTTTATCATCGTATACAACACTGGAAGTGCTATTTCACCCGCTTCTTTCATATTTATATGATAGATAGTGAGTTTTTAAACTTATATAATAAATCATTGTAGCTGAATTTATCTGGAAATAGAAAACCGTTATTTATTATTACATATATATAACAATTTTTGTTAACATTTTCCAAATTTAAGCATTAGAATAAAAAAATACGCAGTTGTTACTAAAGTATTGATTTATAAACCTTAAATGGCATAATGTTTGTTTATCAAATTCCGACATCACCGAAGGTGTTAAAAGCTTGGTATATTGTGGGGATCAATGACCATTTACTTTCTGTACTTGCATCATACCGTTCAACATCCAAGTGCGATGTTAGCTGGACACCAACATAATGACATACATGTATTGGCGAGGTAAAAAAAAACCCCAAAAAAACAGAACTGAAACTTATTTTTATCTTCTCCCGTGCTATGAAACAAGAATATAATTTTCTTACATAAATAGATTGATACAATAAAATTTATATAATTTCATGAAATGGAACAGAAGTCCTTTTAAGAAAACCAGTGCCGTCTCAGTGACAACAGCGCCACCTTTATCAGGCAAATTACCAGCTTGAACCGTATTAGCACTGACGTATGAGTCTACAAAATGGTGGACGGAACCGACTTTTTCGGCTACCTGTACTATAATACTAAATAATTATTTTAAAAAATGCATTAGATATTTTAAAGTTATTTTTCTCAAAAGTTAAAAGATTCTTTCCTTTGTTTTTTTTATTATTAAGGTAAACGTTGTGTGATAAAGTATGGATTTATATGACTGAACAGTTGAAATAAACAAGTCATCTACCGCCTGACAACGTGGATCTTTATTGTCATTTCATCGTTACATCTGGGTTTAAAGAAATAAAAACAGAATACTCTAATAGAAAAGTTAGTAAAAGAATCCCCATCTAGTCTTTAATGCACTAAACCAGTATAAAGTGTACCCAGGTGGATGGAGATGTCTCTATTCGCTCTGTAAAATATGGTAAGCTAAATCAATATTTATCTACAATGCAATAAAACCCTATTAGATATACAATATGTGATATGATAAAACGTATAAAGATATTTGATTTCCGCCATTATATATGAGAACAAGTCTTTAATACATAGTTTATATACATAATTCACTATAAAGGATATAACGACATGAATATTGTACTCATATAACCTGTTTATTAGGTGTATGGTGTACATACTAGAAAGGGTGATAATAAGGCCTTTAGCCATACATATACTTTGTGAAAAACGTGACAAATAACGTAAAATAAGTGAGGGGTGTAATCATGAGAGGAATTTCACACACGGTGGAAATAAATTGTTGTTTTGTCTCTCAATAAACGTTTGATTGAACTCCTAATCGTATCCTCCTTGTACATTTTTCAGAAGTCTCCGTGTAAATCTTTCTTTTGTTCATATTTTTGCCAAAGTGTCATCGAATTTGAGTTTATGAAAATAAGCTTGAATTAAGACTCTTTTTAATGTAAGCTTTATTTCATTCCAAACAGAAATATAAACGCAACAAAGCAAGTATATCATCGAAGGAACAGGAATTGGAAACAAGTTGATAACAACTTATATAAATCCGTTTCCATAACATAAGACTCTTTTTACATATCAATGTTATTTATTTATTTATTTATTTTGCCCATTTATCTGAAGATAAAGTTGAAGATTATAAGGTAAGTGCCAAATGACTTATTTTCCATTT